ATCCCTAGTATGTCACTTGTTGGCCTTTGAGAACTATCCCTAGAATGTCACTTGTTGGCCTTTGAGAACTATCCCTAGCATGTCACTTGTTGGCCTTTGAGAACTATCCCTAGTATGTCACTTGTTGGCCTTTGAGAACTATCTCTAGCATGTCACTTGTTGGCCTTTGAGAACTATCCCTAGTATGTCACTTGTTGGCCTTTGAGAACTATCCCTAGTATGTCACTTGTTGGCCTTTGAGAACTATCTCTAGCATGTCACTTGTTGGCCTTTGAGAACTATCCCTAGTATGTCACTTGTTGGCCTTTGAGAACTATCTCTAGTATGTCACTTGTTGGCCTTTGAGAATTATTCCTAGTATGTCACTTGTTGGCCTTTGAGAACTATCTCTAGCATGTCACTTGTTGGCCTTTGAGAGCTATCTCTAGCATGTCACTGGCCTTTGAGAACTATCTCTAGTATGTCACTTGTTGGCCTTTGAGAACTATCTCTAGCATGTCACTTGTTGGCCTTTGAGAGCTATCTCTAGCATATCACTTGTTGGCCTTTGAGAACTATCTCTAGTATGTCACTTGTTGGCCTTTGAGAACTATCTCTATTACGCCACTTGTTGGCCTTTGAGAACTATCTCTAGTATGTCACTTGTTGGCCTTTGAGAACTATCTCCAGTATGTCACTTGTTGGCTTTTGAGAACTATCCCTAGTATGTCACTTGTTGGCCTTTGAGAGCTATCCCTAGTATGTCACTTGTTGGCCTTGGAGAACTATCTGTAGTATGTCACTTGTTGGCCTTTGAGAACTATCTCTAGTATGTCACTTGTTGGCCTTTGAGAACTATCCCTGGTATGTCACTTGTTGGCCTTTGAGAACTATCCCTAGTATGTCACTTGTTGGCCTTTAAAGAACTATCCCTAGTATGTCAATTGTTGGCCTTTGAGAACTATTCCTAGTATGTCACTTGTTGGCCTTAAAGAACTATCCCTAGCATGTCACTTGTTGGCCTTTGAGAACTATCCCTAGTATGTCACTTGTTGGCCTTAAAGAACTATCCCTAGCATGTCACTTGTTGGCCTTTGAGAACTATCCCTAGTATGTCACTTGTTGGCCTTTGAGAACTATCTCTAGCATGTCACTTGTTGGCCTTTGAGAATTATTCCTAGTATGTCACTTGTTGGCCTTTGAGAACTATCTCTAGCATATCACTTGTTGGCCTTAGATAGCTATCTCTAGCATGTCACTTGTTGGCCTTTTAGAACAATCTCTAGTATTTCACTTGTTGGCCTTTGAGAACTATCTCTAGCATGTCACTTGTTAGCCTTTGAGAGCTATCTCTAGCATATCACTTGTTGGCCTTTGAGAACTATCTCTAGTATGTCACTTGTTGGCCTTTGAGAACTATCTCTAGTATGCCACTTGTTGGCCTTTGAGAACTATCTCTAGTATGTCACTTGTTGGCCTTTGAGAACTATCTCCATTATGTCACTTGTTGGCTTTTGAGAACCATCCCTAGTATGTCACTTGTTGGCCTTTGAGAACTATCCCTAGTATGTCACTTGTTAGCCTTGGAGAACTATCTGTAGTATGTCACTTGTTGGCCTTTGAGAACTATCTCTAGTATGTCACTTGTTGGCCTTTGAGAACTATCCCTAGTATGTCACTTGTTGGCCTTTGAGAACTATCTCTAGTATGTCACTTGTTGGCCTTTAAAGAACTATCCCTAGTATGTCACTTGTTGGCCTTTGAGAACCATCCGTAGTATGTCACTTGTTGGCCTTTAAAGAACTATCCCTAGTTTGTCACTTGTTGGCCTTTGAGAACTATCCCTAGTATGTCACTTGTTGGCCTTTGAGAACTATCTCTAGCATGTCACTTGTTGGCCTTTGAGAACTATCCCTAGTATGTCACTTGTAGGCCTTTGAGAACTATCCCTAGTATGTCACTTGTTGGCCTTTGAGAACTATCCCTAGTATGTCACTTGTTGGCCTTTGAGAACTATCCCTAGTATGTCACTTGTTGGCCTTTAAAGAACTATCCCTAGTATGTCACTTGTTGGCCTTTGAGAACCATCCCTAGTATGTCACTTGTTGGCCTTTGAGAACTATCCCTAGTATGTCACTTGTTGGCCTTTGAGAACTATTCCTAGTATGTCACTTGTTGGCCTTTGAAGAACTATCCCTAGTATGTCACTTGTTGGCCTTTGAGAACTATCCCTAGTATGTCACTTGTTGGCCTTTGATAACTATCCCTAGTATGTCACAGCTGATTATAGATATGTTTGATTTTCCTAGTCTTATATATTGCCGTAGTTTACTTGTGATAATATCGCCGTCATTTACTTGTGATAGTATAGCCGTCATTTACTTGTGATAGTATCGCCGTCATTTACTTGTGATAATATCGCCGTCATTTACTTGTGATAATATCGCCGTCATTTACTTGTCATAATATAGCCGTCATTTAATTGTCATACTATCGCCTTCATTTACTTGCCATGAGCAACATATGACAGGTTCCACTAGTGAAGCAAGACCATGCACTGTTCTATCTCCACACTCCTATTGGATTATTTATAATGGCTCATTCATCTAGTTAGTTCAGAGAAAAATATTTTTATAGTGTTGTATCTCAACTATTTCTCATGTACTTTTGCTTTCAAAAAATTGTTATCAAAAGTATCTTAGTATTACTATGATTACATGGTTTGTATTGTTTCAACTGAATCTATGGCAATTCTTATCAAATCCAGCAGTAAAGAATTGGGGATATTACGAAGCTAAAACAAATCCATGGTCTATCTCCAATGGAGATATAAGGATAATTTCTAAAACTACATTGTTTGTGAAATGTCCATAAAGGGGATACTTTCTTTATCTAAGTTGCTTGTCTATTAAAAAAACAATCGAACAGAGAGTTACCCTTGAAGTACTTAAATTCGATTCTTTCTATGTCTCAGTCTTAATATCTTTATTATATTGAGCTATAAATTTTAATTTAAATTTTTACCACTATTTACCAAATGGGAAATATATCATTATAGGATTCACACGACGATAAATTCAGAATGCACTTTTTAAACTGATTTATACTTAAAAATGATACTAAAAAAATATTTACATTGAATATAACAATTACATAGCAAGAAAGTTACAACACATTGCAGGTATTTGAAAGAATAGATTGAAATGTAAAGATAATCAATTAAATGTCTGTCTACTAAGTACTGAATAATTATAAAGAATGATATGGTTTATCTTTTAAATGTCTGCAAAATGTGATGTATGTGTATCAATATGATATTACGTCCTACTTAGTTTTTTTTCCATTCTGTCTACCCTTCGATTGAGGAGACATTCTTTAGTAACATTATTTTACAATACTAAAAACATGAAGGTGTATTAACAAGAGCCTATATGTCGCATGCATAATAACCTTGACCTGCAAGTCAAAATAATTTATTTTTAAATATTTTTTCGTCCGGGTTTGTGAAATTGGTGATAAAGGTGCATTACATCAATACAATGTTTAGCGTATCCATTGGAGATGTCATGTGACCTTGTCATTAAACCTCAAGGTCGATTAAATGATTATAAGGAATATTATCATATTCACCCCCAAAAAATATAAATATCCTCCGTTGGAAAACAAGGAAAACTTTTAAAGTTTATAAATGTTATTACAACAGAGACGATTTTTCGTTTTTTATTGTTAAGTTTCCTTGTTGTGTTCCTTGTACCCCTTTCTAACAGGTGTACATTTCACAAAACGTTCGCTATGTCCGTGTTTGTAGTGATGTTTTAGAATTTAATTAACATAATCTATAAATAATTGGTATATTATTACATTTTTGTAAGTCAGGGATTTCTTGACCACTAATCGCTGAAAACCATTACTAAACTCGTTCATAGATATGAAGATTTGGTTTGGAAGTTTGGCTGTACCTGTAGAAACTTTATTTAAAACATGATATCACATTCTAGTGTTTACGGTGATCCTTTTCAACTAGTTGTATTTTTTTATTGAACTTGTAAAACAAACAAAACAAACAAAATTTAAAACCCCACAATCTATATAATTTCTTCCGGTTTGCCTAATACTTCATGATACATGTACCGGGACAGGTCAACGTTCCAGGCTATCAAAATCTGATTTGATTGAAAGGCAAACATAACTATTGCCAAAATAAATAATTTAAAGACAAAATACAAAGAACAGTTCTGACAAAAAATCGTAGTGTGTAGAAATCTCGTATTATAGTTGTATTGGGAGATAGATCATTGCACTTGGATCTCAAATATATAGCTATAGATATAAGAAGATGTGGTATGAGTGCCAATGAGACAAATCTCTATCCAAGTCAAAATTTATAAAAGTAAACCATTATAGGTCACAGTACGGTCTTCAACACGGAGCATTATCTCCATTTAAAAAAAATCAAAAGTGGATATAATTATAACACTATAAGATTCACACGTTATGTCGTACCAAATAGTTTTAATTCTGCAAAGAAGATTTTGTGCATGTGATCATTTCAATATGAAACATTAATATAAAAAAGGAGATGTGGTATAGTATAATTGCGAATGCGACAACTATCCACCATGGTACCAATGACGTATATTCAAGCAACTAAAGGTCATCGTACGGCCTTCAGCAATGAGCAAAACCCAATTTTACTCTTTCTATAAATAGAAGTATTTGTAAATCTTTAGGAGGCATACGGCTTTAGGGGCCCATGGTGTGTAACACTCTCCAAACACGATTTACTATTGTCTCACCCCTCCGAGAGATGTCCATAAGTTTTGATAAATCTCTCTTGGTTAAGGTCTAGAGACTTGACATGCATGCTCAGATAATTTATTTCTAAACATAACAGTGTAGAATTTAAATTTTTGAATATCATCTCATCAAGTTTAACTAAGTTTTTACTATAGGACAATAGATAAAAGGTTTTAGCTGAGTAATCACGATACATTTTTAAAGCTTATGTTTGAAATAGATATTAATTTAAATCTAAATATAGAAATACACAGGATATTGGTTATATAGATATTAATAGGAACGATAACATTTAAAAAATCAAAACTTCAAATCGAAAGGAAATTGGTAAAAAATACGTCCGGGTAACGTAAAACAGACATGTCGCACAGGTATCATTTATTTATATTTTTATATTTGTTTACTTTTCAAGGGTATTTTCAATGGTAATTTTTTACCTCCTAAATTAGTTTTACAAGTGATTGTAAAAAGATTAGATTTTAAATGTTGTCAACTGTATAGTTTCGTTTTCAATGCAGCTTATTCTTATCCGACATGAAATCTTGTGCAGCTGTAACAAAAACACTACAATTTACCAACTGTCCATTTTTATAGAGCTCCAAAAATATTGTAGTTAAATTATATTTCTCCGTCTTCAAACCATTTATTCATTTGATATGAACCACCTCGGTGGTTTCGTACGCGTTGAAGTGCTTCGCATACAGAGCAGAAGATCGTGATTTCTATCCTCTGACGGGTCAAACAAAAAAGTTTTAACATTGATATTCACTGCTTCTACGTTAAGCACGTGGCATTCAGGACCAAATAAGAGCACAGATTTGTCAGCTCAGAGCGATGTGTCCAGGTAGTGTGACATATCTTACTGTATACTTTCACTTTGAGAACTAATTTGATACGAATCCGACTCATAGTACCTGTTTAGCTCAAAAAGGGTTTACATTTATAGCAAATTAACATGTTCCCGTTCTAGACAAGGCTCCGTGTTGAAGGCCGTACTTTGACCTATAATGGTTAACTTTAAAAAATTGTGACTTGGATGGAGAGTTGTCTCATTGGCACTCATAGCACATCTTCTTATATCTATGTAATAGTTGCCGCTGGAATTTAAACATCAATTCATCCATTTAGCTATATGTCGTATACGTCTATTTATTTTGATTTCTTGTCATCCATTGTAATACCAAGTATAGGTTTTATTTTGAATGAACTAAATGCGCGGATATTTCAGTAAGTATAGGTCTTATTCTGAATAAATTTTTATGCGCGGATATTGCAATCACACACAATGTAAAGAACGCTCACTTAAGAAAACAAAAAATCAAAAAACTTATATTTTGCATGTTTGAGGTGTTTGTTTGAAACTGAATATAGACGAAAAGTATTTTAAATCTTGATTTTATTGATATTGCAAGAACCGTTACGTATGAACAGAAAATCTAAATTTATAGCAAACATTTCAGCTGAAAATAAAATTCTATAAAAAAATCTACAGAAACATTATCATTTGTGGTAGTACACAGTACTAGTTAATTTTACTATTCGATTCAATCAACTGTCAAAAAAGACAGTATAGACTAGATAAAAAAAACATGTATAATTTTGTTTAGAAATGTCGACATATAAACGTTCATTTATATTATTCAATTATTGTTATTACTTATAACAATTGTAGCATACGTACATGATATTAGTTGACGTGTATTAAAATTATTTTGTGACTTTTGAAAACAGGAGAAATGGTGTGACTTACTATGAATGGAAGTCAGATGTTTTCCACTGTGGGCATGTTGCTATATGCCTTAGTGATGGCACGCACATCAGTTATTGGCAGAAATCGCCATGCTCTAGACTTCTACTAGCTGTAGGAATGAGTCCTCTGAAGAGTAATATCTTCATCCTGTTCTTTGATTATATTATATCATGGGTAAATAGTTTTTATGCGTTTTATAACAAAACAATTACTACAGAAGAAGTTATGTTGATAAGAAGCATACATTTCAATAATTCATTAATTTTTACGAATATTAAAATATAACGGCTTCAATTTTAGCGGTGATATATATATATATTTTTTTTTATATATTTTTTATTTATATTTAGTTATTTTCAATACATCTATGTTTAGTTAAGAAAGTTAGAGCATTCTATATGATTAGTCACAGCCTTAACAAAATACAACGTTTCAGCAAAAAGATGTCTACATGTCAATTACATTATAAAAAAAGAAGATGTGGTATGATTGTCAATGAGACAACTCTCCACCAGAGACCAAATGACGTAGAAGGCTAGCAACTATAGGTCACCGTGCGGCCTTCAAAAATCAGCAAAACCAATACCGCATAGCAAGCTATGAAAGGCCCAGAATTGTTGTTAAACGTTACTACCCAGAATTTAAAACACAGTCTGTCTTCCTGAATTTCATCAGAACTTTACCTGGGACTATTTTCTTGTAATTTATACAATCAATGTTCTTGACTTGACACTTTGAACTTGATACATGTATGACTTTGTTATTATGCGATGATTAATATCAGGAACGGCTTACCCTGGCGAAGCACAGGATATCACTTGCTTAATAGGAGTAAATTCGATTCCGATTATTTTTACTCTAATGTTTATATCTGTTTATACAGTTTTTATATTGTCAATGGCATAAATACTTTAAAATAATGTAGATACAATTCCTTCATATATGAATGCAGTATCGACCACAAGACCTTCACTTGAAACCAATCGAGGCGTGTGTTGTCATGTCGCATAATATTCAGTAAAGTTAAAATACATTTTCTGTCATGTATACAGTAAATGGCCGTTATAGACTGAAAGCTTGAATACATTATTTTATTTGCTGAACAATGTATGCGTTAGTTTACCAATAAATTCATGACAAGGCAAAATTCATGCAGCCGTTCCAAACATATATACCAAAAATTGTAATGTTTCGGTAGGTCATGTAAAATCTTAACCCACAGCAAACCTTTATAAAACTATTAACATACTTGTACGATTGGAAGAGTTGTTATTTTTTTTTTTTATAAATTTACTTTAACTCCGCTAGTGTGAAATTATCGGTCCCAAGCCTAGACTAAGGAGGAGGAAAGTATTTTTTTAATTGGTGCAATACTTCAAATGTTATTTTTGGCACAAATGATACTATGTATTTTGAAAACTTGTGGAGCAAACGTAGCAATAGCGCAAATGAGTTGTGGCGCAAAAGGATTTCTCCCAGGACATAAATGTTAACATCTACAGATTCATATGGACTTCAACAATGAATATAATACATACTGTATAGAAACGATAAAATGTCCCAGATAGCAAAATACAACAGAGAAAACTATCGGTCTGATTTAAGCTGATAATACTAAACGAAAAAAAAATATGACAGACAGCAACCAACAACAACAGCTGTACTAAAGGCTCCTGATTCTAGATAGCCACAAAAAAAAAAAAAAAAAACACGTGTCGGGGTTTAATGTGTTTGTGAGCGACCCCCATAACATGTACAGTAACAAAACAACATTTGAACAAACTGAAAATAATTGAAAAGGGCTTGAGTCCAACATGTCAGTTGTAAACATAAAACAACTAACAAAAAGAGAAGAAACACAACTTGTCGGTCTATGGGTACTCGCAGCGTTTTGAACAGTTGTGGAGACTTAAGCTAAAAAACACACTCCCACCTAGGTATATCCACATACATAAACTTTATCAAAGTATTTAACAAACACTCACAGTGTCATTCAAATTGTGACATGATATTTGGTTCCAAGATTGATGATCCATGCACAGCAATATACATCGCGAGTAGTTACAAAAAAAATAAATAAATAAAAAAACCGCAATGAAAATACCAATATCTCGCTATAATCTTCAATTACAGTTCCTACCTTTCACTGATAACAAAACGTTCATCAAAACGTATACACAAGATGCCAGCATAATGGGACGAGAGGCTGATCGTAGAATTACTTTCCATTCTGATTTTCTCAAAGAGGATGAAATTAAAGAATGGTGGTACGAGAACTGCATGCTATCGTATGGTCTATTTGGACGAAATTGCGCGACTGTTGTTTTCCGTGCTTTGCAAAAAGGTGGTGCCACAACTTATCAATGTGATCCTGAATATTCTATCTGGACTCTTAAAAGAATTTATGATTATTGCGAAAAACTGCAGTGGAAAAGTTATCGTTTACAAACCGGATCAATCGACAAACCTGTTACAGATTTTGAATACATCTTAAATGGATTAAAGCATAAAGCTCAAATAGCCCAAAAAATAAAGGAAGAAGTTGATAAAAGGAAAGCAAAAATAAAGAAAAGTAAAAAGGAAACTAGCAGTGATGAAAAGTCAGAGGAAACAAAATCAAGTGAAGAAGAAAATAGTGAACACGAGGAAGAAGATACAAATGAGTTGCAGATTGTTCCAGTCGTCAATGGAGACACGGAACAAGAACACAACACCGGGGAATCATGGAAACAAAAGACACACAAGAAAAAAAAGGGCAGACGCAAATAATTGTGGGTTTCTTTGACCCTGTAAATTTGTCAAAATTGAATTAAAATTGTATGATACCATTAAAAATTATATTTTTATAAATACGGAAAAAAGCCCTAGGACTTATTCACGACTGTTAAATACTTAGATCTTAAAGACTGTTTAAGTGATAAATATATTATGTGCTTTTTGTTATCTTTTTATGTGATTGGTTCGTGCACATGATAATGATTTATAATTATTTGTTTTCGTGCTGAATTTTTCTTTGCTTGTTACCATTTTAGATTTTTTTCATGTTCAGTGGTTAGCTTACTAAAGCTTATCTTTTGTATCAATTTGTCGAAACAGAATAAAGTTTTACTGACGTACTTTTACGTAGCGTATGTGCTTAAAAATTATAGGACATACACATAATATTATTGACACGTCTTTTTTGCAGCTGTGTATAATTTTCAAATCAAATATTTATTACAGAGTTGCTTAAAATTTAAGAATTCTGATGAAAATTGAATAGGCGTTGGATTTTGTATTGTGCGCACACTGCCAATTAATACATTAACATTCTTAAAACATAAAAATTAGACTAGAACTTAAATAACTTAGAAGGTACCAATTTCATTGCATCAGATGCGCATTTCTATAATAAATGTCTGTTCTGTCCTGCTCGCGACCAAACTATTTGTAAGTCCAAATTCCGATTACAAACGTTAAAGATCTGGTAACACCAAATAGGACCGAAAAGTAAAGCCAAACCAGAACAAGGAATAAGAGCTATACACGAGGGAGTTACATCCTTTTATCGAAAATTATCAGTTTAAAATGATATCCAAAATTTGATAACAGCAAAGTTTCATTAACCATATATTCATACCAGTAACGAAGTATATTTGGCTACTGGTCTGGTGATACTATCGAGGACTGACAGTCTGGTAGAGGTATCGACCAAAAGGCAATAAGCATATTAATGGTACTAGTTTTCCTGTTCGGCAATTAATGTATATCCAGTAAAAGAGAGGTGAAAGATACAAAAGGGACATTAAAGCTCATAAGTAGAAAATAAACCGACAACGCCATGGCAAAAAAAGAAAAAGACCAAAAGACACAAGCAACACGACCCCCACCAAAACCGGAGTGATCTCAAGTTCTCCGGAAGGGTAAGCAGATCCTGCTCAATTTGTGTTGCTCATGTTAGTACACACCTGGTGATAAGTCTAATTCGGTAAGTCACATTCGGGAAAAAAGAGGACGGGATTGTACAATTGGAACACATCCCTCGTCATCTGTGAAACGGATATTCCATAACGGTCAACCAGTAAAGCTCGAGGTTAAAGTATATGAAAGTGCAAAACTTAATACAACGTTAAAGAATTGATAAATCAAAAATAGGTCTAACGTAAAGCCAAACCCGAATAAAGAATGAGGGAATACATTGATTTATCTAAAATTATTTCCAATATTGCAATAATTTGAAGAAACCCAACAATATCCTTATTCTCTTACCAGTAATTACCAATATTTGATTATCAATTCCTTGCAGTGTATTGCAATATTTGTTTTGACTTTATAATACCAGTAGTATACCAAAGATATATATATATACATGTATGTATGGTAAGCCATAGTTAGTTCTATAACATTAAATCAACTGAATTGTATGACAGGTAAATGTGCAGGGACAGACCGAGTATAAAGTATATCTTTAACTATAATCTGCATCATTGATTCAGAATTCAAAGTACGACATGAATTTGATTTTAATTACCGTTTCGATTTCAGTGTTTCAGCTTTCAAATTTCATTTTAAATACATGTTGTAGGAAGCTTATAAGACAAATTATTTATTTGAAAATTTCACTGTAGATAAACCAAATATAAGATAAGGTAGATATACAGGAAGACATCCTTCAGTTCTATGTAACTTCTGTGAGAGAACAAAATATGCACGCACTATTATCTTGCTAGATTTCTGTAAGCTATATTCAAAGTAATCTTTCCATGTAAATATAGTATATCATTTACATATTTTTCTAAAACGGAAAGAGGAAGAAGACACTACTTATAAGCAGTTAAAACATAAGTAAAAAAAAAACCAACAACCTTACAAAAAAAGAAAAACAACAGCCCATACAGCTATACACAGGACTCAAAATATTGAGGATCACGAACCTAACCAATTACAAACATCGCGGGTGCACGCATATTCACCGGAACGGTTAACAGTTCCTATTCGCACGCATACACGCATATGCACCGGAACGGTTAACAGTTCCTATTCGCACGCATATGCACCGGAACGGTTAACAGTTCCTGTTCCACTAGTGTTACATGTCGTGTTACTATTAAAAAAAGTCCAAGGATTTTTAATTATTTAACTATTACAGATTGCATTGTTTTAACTGAGAAAAAAAAACCACACAAGAGATAATGAAATATGTATTATTAAAGCACATTTGCAGGGATATCCGATAAGCAACCTTTTAATTATTTGAATGACTTACTTGGGCGCTTTTTTTCCTTTTTGTTTCAAATTGTGTTAGTTTTTTTATTAACGTTGTCAAAAGATTTTGTGCAGGGAAATGTAAAACATTTGCACCGGTTTGGATCAATAGTTGCGCAATTTTGTATCCAGCAATTGCTACTGAAAAGGTTCATATTTTCTGGTTTTTATGTCTTATGTATCTCTGTTCTCCTTATTATTATTGACTTTACACTCGAGTAATAATAATAAGACCAATGACATGCCTGGACCGAGGCCATACGGTGCTGTTTTAAAGGAAAGCCTTCCGTGTCATGAAGATTGGAAAATTCTCCTGTGGAAGATTGTTTTCTATTATTCAACCAATCGATTTGCATAAATTGGAAAGTTACCTATAGTAACTGACGAAATATTCTCAGGCTTAAGTCTGGTTTGATCCAAATGAAGTGGATTTAAGCAATTATGGGCAACCGTACGGCCTTCAACAATGAGAAAAACCCATACCGTATGGTCGGCTATAAAAGTTCCATAATGAGAAACCTAAGAAAAAATAATGCAAATCTGTCCACAATAGAAGGTAACATTTTTTAATCTTTTTGACAAATAAATTTGGTTACAAAAGTGGAAAATCTTCGTTACTGCCCTACACGACAATGGCTCACAGTGCAGTAAGTAAGTAAAGGTCGCCTGGCAGGTAGCTATACTACTACTACTACTACTACTACTACTACTTCTAAAAATAATATTTCTATTTTGTCCACATATACATAGGCATATATTCTGCTTCAATGATGGCATCCTCTACAAAACATCCTTGAATATCTTATTCTCTATGTTAATTTTATCCTTATTCTAGCAATTTTTTATAATTTCAAGTCAAGCTCGTCGTTTGATTTGAATGCATGAGTACAAAGATAATCCCTTTAGTGAATTTATGTCAATATTTCGTCTGTAATCCACTGTTCCGTTTCTACCTTGATATCTCTTCTTTAAACAGTTGTTCATGATGTATAACACTCATGCTCTTGGATTTGAACAGCGTTTCGCCAAAAAAAAAATAAAAACAACTCTTTATAAATTGTATGTGTTCGAATCGCTTTTTGGATTTACCTTCATCAGGAACGCTCAAAATCTAATATTTGAAAGCCAAGGATGTATAAGAACAAAAACTATAAAACAATTATTTGACCAAAAGGGACATAAAATAATAGTCAAATCCATCTAAGATCAACTTGCCTGAGGGAGTTGAAACCTTAGATTCGTAATAGACAATTTAAGAAAGGAATTTAAGAACGGTAACTGCAATTGTTTGCACCTGTCCTAAGTCAAGAATCTGTTCAGTAGTTGTCGTTTGTTGATGTGGTTCATAAGTGTTTCTCGTTTCTCGTTTTTTATATAGATTAGACCGTTGGTTTTCCCGTTTGAATGGTTTTACACAAGTAATTTTTGGGGCCCTTTGTAGCTTGCTGTTCGGTGTGAGCCAAGGCTCCGTGTTGAAGACCGTACTTTGACCTATAATGGTTTACTTTTATAAATTTTGACTTGGATGGAGAGTTGTCTCATTGGCACTCATACCACATCTTCTTATATCTATGTTATTAATCATTTCTACAGAGCTGATGATATCCTCGGTGACTGATAGTCTACAAGCAGCGGTATCGACCAAATGCTATAAAAAATGAAGACAAATCTTTATAATTTTTATGCATACGAAGCGATATGTGAGAAACGATGACGATTCTCAGTTGAAATAAATTGCAGATGAATGATGAAGCCTAAATGCGATTGATGTCAAATAAAGGCAACAGTAGTATACCGCTGTTTAAAAGTCATAAATCGATAAAGAGAAAACAAATCCGGGTTACAAACTATAAAACCGAGGGAAACACATCATTTATAAGAGGAAAACAACGGAACAACAGAAACACTGAACTGCAACAAAAACAAACGCCAACATACATAGAAACAGACTATTTGATAACAACTGCCATATTCCTGACTTGGTACAGGAAAAAAAAATGGTGGGTTGAACCTGGTTTTATGGCTAGCCAAACCTCCCGCTTATATGGCAATGTTAAAAAAATATCGATAAAAGGACAACAATACGTGACAGGAATACAGTACAAACAAACGCAAGAACACTCAGCACAGAGAAATGCATAAATAAGTAATATAATAGTACATTACGACATATAAACCGCAGAATAACAACGGACATCTCCCATTAACGACAGCTCAGGACACCACAAACTGCGTGTCACATGAATGGATCAACGCCACAAAAAGTGACGTATTTTTGTGACGTATATATAATCTTGAAATTCATACAATTATGTGGAACGAGATCGAAAAATTTACAATTTTATTCATAATACTAGTCCAAATAATTACATAGTATTACTTTCACTATCCACATTAAAGAATACATTTGGACCGTGTATCATTCGTTGCTTTTTGTCTTTGCTTGTACATCTGTTAGTTTTGTTGGTTGGTATGGTATGTTGAACTGTCTAAATGTTTGGTAATTTTTGTTATTTTCTTCATGTATCATGATTTGGAAAATCCGAGCAATAAATCTAAGTTCAGCCTTTCTTCCCTTTCAATAGTACATTGCCTAGCGAACCAGTTTAAATATTTTAACTGACCCCAATAATTTCAACTCGGCTCACGACTATCGACAACATGTGCTTCCGGATGCCCAACGCAATAATTGTTACAAAATAAACATTCTTAGCATTTGGAAAATCCCAATAAGACAGGAAAATAACGTTATTAACAATTTTGTAAGTAAGCAAAATACAAATATACTAGCTCCACAGCCTTCAAGGTGTCTCAAGAACTCCTTAAAACAAGTAAACAAAATATCTGTGAGGCAAAGTGAATACATACCGGAGGGAAA